GAGGAGATAACAATAAAAATGAGGCTCAGGTCTGCTTAGCACAACTTGCAGTTCTTTCCATCTGTACCCCACTGCACAGCTCCTTAAGCATTCTGTCATTTTTTTCAGCCTTTCCGGCTGTTCTCATCAGCAGGCAACAGTTTTCCTTCATCACCTCCTGGTGCTGGTTGTCGTTCTCTCTCATCTTGTTTCGATGTTGGGGGCAGGAGAGAGAGAGAGAGAGAGAGAGAGAGAGGGGCGGGGGCATGAAGAAAAAATGAGGATCAGGTCCCATCAGCACAGCTTGCATCTTTTTCCCTGTGCGCCCACCGCAAAGGCCCTTCACAAGTCTGCTCCTTTTCTGGCGTTGCTTGCTTTTGGAAGAGTGTTTTTTTATCACCTTCTGGTAATCCTGCTGCGCCCCTGCCCCCCCCCCCCCCCTCCTCCCCCTTCCCTTCCTACCAGCCCATCGCACCCCGCTGCACCTTTTGGTTCCTGTTCCATCTTTTCTCATTCTTAAATTTTGTCTAGGAGAAGTGTTTAAGGTGTTGCTGATTGTCAGGGGGATGTATCTCGCTTTCCCTCCAACCGCTGATGATGAGGTAGTTCTTGCCCCCTTTCTTTTGTCTACTTTTTTTTTGGAGTGTGGGCCAGTTTACCCTGGTGGTACCTCGTTTTCATTCTCTGCTGTTCGTCTTTATTCTCTGTTGTTTCTCCAAACCGCTTCTACTGTAAATGCCTGTCGTATGCAGGCGCTGTCCGAACGTCACTGCGTTTTCCTTATGGATTTTGTTCCTAATCTCATGCTCGCTTTTCATTATTTCATCAATTTTCATGTCAATTTCATCCTGCAAGCTGTTTTTATTGTCACGGGGGCAGCCCATGACCTCCTTGTTGTGTCAATCTGATTTCACCAGGATTCGAACTCATATGACCTGATTATTAGCCGCTTGCATGTGTGTCCCACTGTGCCATTTAGCTGCATGAGCTGGGTACTTCATCTCTGCAGGCGGATTAGGGCTTTCCCACGTTTATTCCATCCTCTCTGGGTTTTATTACATGGACCTCGCCTTACCTTAGAGCCTAGCTCAGTGGGTACACCCGTGAACTGTTGAAATACAGACCGGAGTTTGAATCCAGATGGTGGTTATGGATTAATAAAACTATTTTTTTAATGAATTGCCTGAATTGCCTGAACTGCCTGGGGCCGGTCAGCTCAATGCTGATATCTCAAGGTCGTTGCCGTTAAAAAAAAAAAAAAAAAAACATGGACCTCGCGTTGGTCGGAAAGAGACACTTTCAGCATGTTTGTCAGAACTTTGTATAGAATCTGTACCTAGGTAGTCTGGGAACATGACTGGCAGGCCCTGAGGGGCTGTCCGGGTCTGGATCTGAATGTCTGTGGCAGACTACCAGCCAGGCACCGTATGTCAGGCTGTTTGAAATAGGAATGCTTTCAAAAGCTTTCGACTGTTAAAGTTTTCTAAAATGTCTCGAAAGGCTGAAATAAGTGTGGTGTATTTGGAATGCAGACAGGTCCCACCCAGTCTACCTCAGTGGCTCACTTGTCTGTCTGTTGGCAATCATTATCCCCACCCGGCTTCAAATCCCAGGTTCAGCAAAGTGTGTTTTTTTGTATGTGTGCATGCATGCCTCTGTGTGTGTGTGTGTGTGTGAGTGTGTGTGTGTGTGAGTGTGTGTGTGTGTGTGTGTGTGTGCATTCATGTATGTTTGTGTGTGTGTGTGTGTGTGGGCATGGCTTTCTTGTGTGCCCCATCCGAAATTGCAAAACTCCGGTGCGGATACGCATGGCTGACCTTTTTCTGTGCAGGCGTGACCCTGTCAAAGGGAAAAAAGAGCAAAAAGACAAGGCTCAAACTGTGGCATGCTGCACGGTCATGATCAAACGGACACTGGTCAGCGAAACTCCGTGCACAATCAGAGATGCACAAGTGCACAAGTGCACAAGTGCACAAGAAACAAAAACTGCCGCCTGCACGCTACACCAAAAAACACGTGTGCATGCAAAAGTGGGTGCTGGACTGGAAAAGGGGGACGTTCCAGGGATGATGGCATAGGACTTTCTGTGGGCTTCATGGGGTTGCATTGCCTGCTTTTTCCAATGAGTATAGAAAGACGGAAGCTAAATGCACTTCAATAAACCCCTTTGAGCCCTTTTCAAGACCCTCCCAACCCCCTTTGATCCCCTTCGGAAACCTATGCCCCTTAAGCCACAAGTGGGTCTCCCAGCCAGTTTTCTAAGATGCGCGGGGCATGCAGGCGTGTGGGTGGGATGTACCGGGGTGCAAACGTATTGCCTCGAAATCCATCCAGGCAAAACGGGTCGCATGCAAGGCCCGATTTGCCTGGATGGATTTCCTGCATGCGTGGCGGGTTTTTGAAAAGTGGCTGGGAAACGTATTGTTAGGTGGTTTATACTTCATCAAAGTTTAAACATAAACTTACTGGGATTACAGCTCTATTTTGACACGCACGAAATGACCATTCTGGCCCTGACCTGAGGAGGTGTCTTCATGCTCATGCCAAGAACGCACAAACCCTAAATGTTAGAATACCAACGACGCAGTACAGACCAAACATACATCATTCTCATCACAAGGTGAGAGAAGGTTAACAACAGTCGTATTTTTCATCACCACTTTGGGACACCCTTCACCACTTCGCGATGCAACCTGCCTAAACAGGTGGTTTTCAGGATCTTCGGACCTTTCACCACTTCAAGACCATTCAGGTTTGAAAATCCTGAATGGTCCTGAAGTGGTGAAAGCTCCGAAGACCCTGAAAACCACCTGTTTAAGCAGGTTGCATCCTCAAGTGGTGAAGGGTGGTTTTCATGGTCTTCGGACCTTTCACCACTTCATTCAGGATTTTCAGACTGCCCAAAACTCTCACTTGACCACTTCAGGATGCAGCCTGCCTAAACAGGTGGTTTTCAGGGTCTTCGGACCTTTCACCACTTCAGAACCATTCAGGATTTTCATACTGCCCAAAACTTTTACTTCATAATTTTCATTCGTGAATTTTCAGCTACCCGATAACCGCATGTGCACAAGGTGTGAAGAGGGTCTGGCACTACACACAGGAATAATGCGCCAGGTCCATATCATGCACAGACGAAGAGGAGGGGAACAGACGAAGAAGAGGAGGGGGGAGATGGGAAAGTCGTCAACACCAAGTCTTCGTTACCAGTCCCAAATAATCCCTCGTCAAAATGTCTGAACCCCAACGTCGAGTCTGGATCCAAATGTCACCAAGCTCTCTCTCTCTCTCTCTCTCTCTCTCTCTCTCTCTCTCTCTCTCTCGTAGTCTGCGGATGCAGTGAAGTCAGATAGCGAGAAGGTGAGAGGGAGATGGTGGACTTAGAAGAGGAAGAAAAATAACTCTCTCTCTCTCACGTGCTAGGTACTAACGTGTGAAGTTGGAGCCGTGCTGCAGGTACTACCTCGAAGACGAAGTTGAAGCTATGGCGTTGCAGGTAAGTCTCCCTGGCCTCCGCCCAATCTCTCTCTCTCTCCAGTACTACTCTAGCTCCTACTAGCTCCCAGCGCTGAAGACTACCTCCTGCCTCCTGAACTACACGTGAAGTGTCTGGGAAGTACCTGGGAACTACCTGCAGCCTGCAGGGCGGGTCAGTCCTATATAGTGCTGGCCCGTCTAGGAGGCTGCTCTTGCCGATGCCAAAACATGCCAAACCCTGGCGTTGAAGCTCAACCAAGGGTTGTCTTGAAAACAGGTCCAAAATGGTATGTGCTAAGACCTTGGTCTGGTGCCTGAGTTTCAAGGCAGGTCGATCTTATGAGAGTCTAAAAATGACCCTCAGTTTCAGGCTGAAAAGACTCAGGGTTGGAAAGACCCTGTTTTAGGCTGAAACGTCACAGGGCCTATAGGCTATAGGCCCTTGTTTTCAGGCTTTCAGGCTGAAACAACACAGGGCCTGTAGGCCCTTGTTTTCAGGCTTTCGGGCTAAAAACGACACGGGCCTGAAAATGGTTCGTGCAACCTGTTGCAGGCGGCGCCAGGCGCAGCGTGTAACACCCAAGTCGGGTCGAGGGCGAAGCTGACGATCTGAAGTTGGAACCTGGACACGGGTGCGACGTGAAACCGAAGATACCCAGCTATCGAGTCGAGGGTGCCCGACTTTGCTCACTTCTCAGTTTAAGGATGTGCTCAAGCAGATAAGTATAATCTCAAACCCTCGTTCGTTGCTCCTCCCGTTCTTTCTTCAACCTTCCTACATCACTATCACATCTCTTCTTATCATTGCGTCATCCTTCTCCCTCTTCCGCTACTCTTCCTTCATTGGTCCTTCAATCTTTTCCTCACCCTTGTCTGATTAGCGCACTCAATCTCGATCCTTGGCTAAATGCATGCTACTTTTCCAGGTACAATCACTCTGGTCACACACAAGAAACAAATAGGGCACCTTGCTCCGAAACTAGTTATTTCAACTATGTTTACGTGAGAATAGACTAGTATCATCTTGGTATACAACTGCGAGATTGATGCGGTGGTCCGTGCGAGGGGTGCACCTACCTGTATTCGAGGTGGAACGACTGTGCTTGATGCATACAACCTCGGCCATGACGAAGGAAGCGACTTTAACTTTCGGAGTTACAAGAAAGCAACACTGGACCAAGCTGGACGACTCATCCCAATGCGATCGAGTGACGAATTCCCACATTTTTACCCCCCCCCCCCAGCTAACAGCCTGGTAGGCGTAGCATGGTATGGGGGAAAGTGATGGAAAAGAGAGGCAAAGAGATGGAAGAGCTTTCAAGGAGAGCAGCTAGACTGCTAGGGCTCATGGATAGTAACAGGAGGCCCAAAAGAAGGGTTGAAGAGGCAGAACTAGCTTGGGATTTGGGCCAAAATCTTTAGAGCCCCAGAAGGCTCAATTGCAGGCTAATAACACCATGATTGAAGGGAGATAGTCGTAATAGGGTTGAGGGTGAAGAGGTACAGATGGCAATGGAAAATCTCAACACTCAAAAAAAGGTTGCTCGGTCAATCCCCCAGGTAGCAGGGCAATCAATGCTGGCAGGCCCCATGGTCACTGTTCTCACTGTTCTCAGACATTAACATTTCTGTGTATGGGACACTGAACCCGTTTTCTAGCAGGCGATGCTCACCACCAATAGATGGAGCATCTCCCCAGGTGTTAGGGGTACCTGCTCTTATCATCATCACTAACACTAGTGGGGGCGCGTTTAAAATAAAAAAAATAAAAAAATAAAAAAAAACACGAGGATCAGCAATTGTCTGCTCGACACCCGCACCCAACTCCTCATTATATGTATATAATTGAGATCTGAATCTCCCACAAAAAGGCGACCAGGTACTTCGTCCAAATGAAAGCATGCAAAATGTCAAACAACGAGCGGGCGGATCTTGGTGGCGACCACGATGAGTAGCTTCGGGAAGGGGACAAAAATGGCGAGCAGTACGGGGAGAAGGACTACGATGGTGAGCGGAAGCACTACTCACCAAATGTGCAAATTGAGAATGTATCTTTTTTTTTTCTTTTTTTTTAAAAAATGGGGACATGCACCAATCTATTCATGGGGAGCAACACGGCTGGGAACCAGGCCCAGCGTCCCTTATTACAATACAAGAATGAGTTACCGGGGCCATTACCCGGCTTCGGCTAAGAGCAAGTGAAAAAAACGAAAAGCTCAAGAATATTCAGAAAATGTATGTCGAAAAGTCTCCCAACCACTAAACAGATAGGTAAAACCTATTCAATCCACACCTTCGACCGCCACTAGCATGGTTGTATCCAGCACGAACCCAAGCTCTTCCGGGCCTCATACTCCCTTCAAGCTAGGTTACTGAGTTGCATCACCTTGCTCCAGCACCGGCCAGCATTGCTTCAGTTACGACCCCCGATGACTATAAGGACTGCCCCCGCAAACAGCCCCCCAGATCTCTCTACCAGGCCTCACGCCCCCATTAGGCTAGGTCACAGAGTTGCGCCACCTGGTTCCGGCTCCGGCCAGCGTTGCTCCAGCATCGGTTTTCGAGGGCCACCAACTTTTCAACCACCCTATGCAGGATCAAGGATGAATTGTCAGATAACACCTATTCCTACAATCCTCCTTGAGAGGCAAGCCTAGTTGAAATAACGAGGAAGAAAAACTCAGAAATATTCAAAAAATGCATGTAAAAAAGCCTCCCAAACTCAAAACAAATAGGTAAAACCTACTCAATCCACCTTCGACCGCCACCAGCATGGATGTTTCCAGCACGAACCAAAGCTCTTCCAGGCCTCATGCTCCCTTCAAGCTGGCTTACAGAGTTGCGCCACCTTGCTCCAGCACCAGCCCACATTGCTTCAGTCACAACCCCCGATAACCACTGAGACTGCCCTTGCAAACAGCCTCCCAGATCTCTACCAGGCCTCTCGCCCCCACTAGGCTAGGTTACAGAGTTGCGCCACCTGGCTCCGACTCCGGCCAGCGTTGCTCCAGCATCGGTTATCGAGGGCCACCGACTTTTCAACCACCCTACGCAGAATCAAGGATGAATTGTCAGGTAACACCTATTCCTACAATCCTCCTTGAGAGGCGAGCCAAGAAGAAAAAGATCTAATGATGACAACTAACCTAATGAGAATGATAGTTGTAATGAGAATGGCAAAAATGGTGATGATGATGATAGGTATAATACTAATGATGATGATGATAATAGTGGTGATGTTAATGATGATGAATCTGGTAATGATGTTGATGATGATGATAACAATGATATTGGTAATGATGATGATGATGATAAAGATGGTGATGATGACGATAATGATAACGATGATGAAGGTGATAATGACTATGATGATGATCACGCCCAACACCCTGCGCTAACTCAAAGTGCTGCTATTGCCAATGACCGGATGATGATGGTGGTGGTGATAACAACAGGGGCAAGCAGCGCCGATGATAAAATTTTAACGATGAGTGTCGCGCAGCCCCCCTAATCATGGTGTTAAAGTTGAGACATACCCTGTTGATGCTGATAAAGATGATGAAGATGACGAATAACTCCCTGATGATGATGTCTGTCGTTGTAGCCCGGCGCTGCTGATAAACAACCTCTCCCCGTTGCTTGATATTGCAGCTTGTATGTCGCGAAAACGGAGACAGTCCTAAACATTCCACTCCTTATCCCCCTCCACTCCTCCTCCCATCTCGTGGGACACACAGCGCTCTTCTCCCTCTTGCTACTAGCCGACCTCCTCCACCAAATTGTGCAAGAAGAAGAGCACGAATGATTCCTCCCGATGCAAGACCCAGTAGAGAGTTTTACCCCGCCTGACACGGCATGCTAACCAGCAGCATCCCCGTGAGAGGCACCAGACAGTGAGATGGCACTGCAGTGCTTTCAAGTGTCAGGAGATAGAGAGTACGTCCTACAGCAGCAGTAGCAGCACTGACTACCCGCATCATTGAGCACCTATCATAGTCACACCTCTATGCCCAGCGGCGCCCAACATCGCCACACGTTACCGCTCAACCACACCTGGCATAGTCGCACCGCGTCTGCCCGCAACTCCATCTCTCTTTGGTGAGGTCGTGACGGCGGGGCGCAGCGCCCCCCGACGCGCTGTGCCCCTCTCCGCGGTCTGCGCACTTACTTCTCAATTGAGAATGTATCTACCGTTGGAATTCCAGAAAAAAGAAACATTGTCACTCTCAAAACTCTCATAACAGCAGTGCAGCCCCTGCATCTTGTACCGCCCAAACTGTCACTCAAATCCAAAAAATAGCATGGCCACTTGCAACGCCAAAAATCCCCTAGTTAGCATCTTAGTTTGTTCAAAACGGTCAAGAGATTACCAAGTTACGACAACTTCTACTCTCACCCTCCACGTCGTCGCACTCGATTTCTCCGCAGACCCTCTTTTCTTCTTAATCTCCATCCACTACTCTCACGCCGAAACTAATGTAACCATCGCACTCGCCCTGTCCAAAAAAGCCCGTCTGCTACTTTACCTCGCTCGATTCCATTGAGAATCGAGGGAGCTATCGATTATAGGCTCCCACCATATCCTCTCTCTTGACAGCCTCGCGCTCCGAGTCGTTCTTCGTCTCGTTTTGGTTGCTCTCCCCTAATGTCGTCAGCTCCACCCTATTCCCCGTAACTCAGCTACTACCCGGTCTGATGAAACGGACGAAGTAGGAAGAACCAAAAAAAAAAAAAAAAAAAAAAAAATCACCTCTTTTTTGGCCATTCTCGCGTCATTCTTGCGCAAGGGCCATGGTAATCTACTCTGTATTGTTCCAATTTTAACGGATGTCCCGAAGGACCTAAGCTGGGCAGAGCCCCATGGCACCTCCCACAAGCCACACGACCTTAGGTATATCAGGACTGTAGTATTTTCCTTCATCTGCTACCATTGGAGTTCAAACTCATATGTGTATTTCCACAGTCGCGGGGGATTACCAACTGAGCTAGATCCAATGGCTTTGGTCCCGCGAGCCTGTTTCCAACAGTCTGCGGGTGGACCAGCTAAGCTACGCCCAATGGCTGATCCCACAAGCATGTTTCCAACAATCTGCGGGTGTAACAGTTGAGCTAGGTCCAGTGGCTGATCCCACAGGCCTGTTTCTAACCGTCTACGGGTGTACCAGCTGAGCTAGGATTAGTGGCTGATCCCACAGTCCTGTTTCCAACAGTCTGCGGGTGTACCAGCTGAGCTAGGCTCAGTGGCTGATCCCACAGGCCTGTTTTCATCAATCTGCGGGTGTACCAACCGAGCTTGGCCTGGTGGCTGATCCTACACGACTGATTTTGGACAATCCGTGGGTGTACCAACCGAGTTTGGCCCAGTGGCATCGATCCCACAAGACTATTCACACTCACACTTCTCACAGCAATTCGTGGTTGGCGGATGGTGCACCTGCAGGTGCTGGTCCCGCCACTCAGGTTCCTACCTCTTCGTGGGCTAAGCACCCACCACTTGCATGCATGTTGAATTTCCTCTGACTGTGCATTAAGACGGGCATGATAGAAGAACCTCATCATTATCCCGAACACGCAGGAACTCGAAAGGGCCCACGAAAAGAGGTGTATGATTGAGGTCCTCGACTGTCGTGACGGCCACCCGTAGGGAGGGGTTTCAATCACTCCCTACTGCAATCTCGGTCACAACAACCTATGCTGGCAGGCACCCCACGTTCAGTCAAGGATGGCGGCAATGCAGTCACCATCCACCCCCGCCCACGTGGGGATGCACAGACTTCCCTCCATCCGCTTCTTCACTCATCAATTTCAAACACTTTTTAATCCCTTCTCAAAGTTTCTTTTCATCCTCCCTTTGCGGCATTTTTTCGTCGTCGGTCCCAGAGCCAGTTTCCAGCCTGGTCAACAGACGGGACCTTAAGAATAAAGAAAAATAAAAAGTAAAAAGTAAAGACAAGTCAAAAATAAAATTAGTAGAACTGACGAGGAGGAGGACCCGCCGACACCCTCTTGGTTTCGCTAGTCGGACCCATGCCCGGACCCATCCGGCAAAACCAAGGGGGATAGTCCCTAAAGACCTTGGACACCTCAATCTCTGCCTGTCACGCTCCTTCGCTCTATTGCCACGCGTTGGCCTCGAACCCCAAACCTGTCACTTGATAATCCAGTACCGTAACCCATAGAACTAGGCCAAGGCTGAGCTAAGTAGACGCGAATCTCTATATAAACAATTTTCGGTTTGTGATTGGGCTTACCAGTACAAACCATGACTCCACCTTCACTCGCTGGCCAATCCAAACGAGGTCGTTTGTGCCTAGGTTTGTAGTCGTCTCGTACCCTGGCGTCGGGAGCACCATATGCATCACTGAACTCCCGACCTTCCCTCATGCTAGGTTTGACAACGTCGTGCCCTTTCATGTGTCGCCAAACATAATCTTCCTACTTGTGCACAAGGTAGGGTCTTTATCTTCTTTGCGACGCATCCTGCCAGAGGCTTTCGCCGGTTCACGACGTAAAGCTTGTCTTTAAAAATAGAAGAAAAATATAACCAATAAAAACTACAGAAAAGGTATCCGAAACCTACGGCTTCGGCGTCATTCCGCCTGCCTAGTATTACCGATGACTAACGGTCATCTCACTGCACTAAGCAATAATGCTAGCCCCACACACTCTGTAATTCGGTCGTATTCGACTCGGAGTCTCGCCAAGAGCGAGGTTGCCGAGGTGAGCGCCTTGACGAGATTTATCTCATCAGTGCATTTCGTTGATCAAGGACGCACCCAGTGAGATATTAAAAAAGGACAACAAAGACCCTTGTAAGGGTGTTTGCTACGACAATGACTATTGGAAAAATCAACATGTTATTGATACTTGTTTTTGTATTATTGAAAAGTTTGCACATAGGCAAAATACATGCTCCGCGTGACGAAAATTTTCAACTATTGCATTTTTGAAATATCGCTAGTTTTGTAGTTATTTGTTCGAGTGTACTTTTGGACGATGACTTATTGCATAACACAATGTTTTACATGTCTGCTTCTTCGAAAGTTTCTATAATTTGATTACTGATAGAGTCAAAAACTTTAAGAGCAACTTTGGGAGATGATGTAAAAGTTGAGGCAACCAAAGGATAAGCAAAAGGAGGAGCGGGCAATTTCTTTGCGTAAAACCGAGAACTCAAAGAATGTTTTAAGTCGGAAGCATGAATGTTATACAGTACAGAAGTACTATATCAATTGAATCTAAGATTGCATAGTCCAAAATATTCCCAATTACAAACTTAGAAGAAAAAATTAAGAGGAAAGTATGGAGTTTAATACTCGAATTCACTTAAAAGGTGCAACGATATAACTCGCTCTTTATCACATTCTTTATTATTATCATTGCATAATTTTTGGAAGAGTCTTTGAAAATGTGAATGTCATTTTGTCTCCATTACCCTTGCCCATCTTAGCATTTATTTTTATTTATTTTTTTCATTGCCACTTTTTATGATTTTTTTATCTCACAATTAAAAAAATATGTTTACTTACATATACTCATTGTCTTTTTTTTTATAGATAAAAAATAATATGCCTATTCACAGGGTAACCAGCATTTGGAACGGGTCGAACGCCCGAACGTACGGGACCCCTTGGGGATGCGTTCGGCCGTTCGGACAGAACGCGGACCAAAAAAAAAAAACAATTAAAAAAAATATAAAATAAAAAAATAAAAATCAAACAAATCTGAAAAAAATATATGTTACGAACTTACGAACAAAAATAAATTAAACAAGATTTGTCTACGCATTATATCCAAATTCCTTACCAAATTTGAAATACAAATAAAATACGGAAAACAAGTACTAATAATAAAAATTAAAAAAAAAAACAATTAAATTTGGTGAGTGCGTGAGCATATTTTCGACACCGCCATCTTTGGCAATTTTTTAATTTTTTTTGGCATAGCTAAATGCCCTGAAAATTTACAGATGTTTACTTCATATAATACAAAACCCACTAAAAACAATTCTAAAAATAATAAAAATTTTTAGACCCCGAACTGAAGTGAAAACATAAAGTAAAAAGTGAAAAAAAATATGGGCAAGCACGTTTTGACATAGCCATCTTTGGCGATTTTTAATTCTTATTTGGTTGAGCCAAATGACTTGAAACTTTATAAGCATGTACCTCATGAAATAGAGAACAAACAAAAAAGACTTCAGAAAAACAAAACTATTCCTAGACCCTGAATTTTTTTTTGACGGGGAGAAGAAATATATTCATATACGTCAACCGTAAATTCAAAGTAATTTACCAATCTCAACAATTTTTAATCTCTTAATATTAAATCTAGATAATCATTTAAAATTGCTATGCAAATATAGTTAAGGAGGAAGCTGCAACCAAAAAATAAATATTATTGATCTTCATTATTGTTTGTCGACATTATTTCTAATATATAGTTATTCCTACTTGTAAGGAAGCAGTAGTAATATTTATATGTTTGTTTTTTGACAAAATATAGCATGAGTTTAATAGAAAAATATTATTTCACTTTCGGTAATTAATTGAAATCACGATGCACAAA